GGCCGCTCTCTTCCTCCGCTTCACTACATCACCACCTACTTCAATGTTCAATGTATTGTCTGCTTGCTCGAAATCAAGCGTTTGGGGGAGAAAAGTTGGCATTACGATCGAAACTGATCCAAAATTATGGTCAATCAAAATCGGGGAAAGAAAGAAGCAAAAGAAAAGAAAAGCTTTGAACTATACTGTTTGAATCGGTCAGAGCATGCCAGAATGGAAAAATTGACCATCATTTTAGGAGTAAAATCCCGAATACACCGTATCGATGTCGATGCGGGGAGCGCGCCCTTCAAATTATCTAGACAGTTGGACTAGTCGAAGTACACGAAGGCCGGCCCCGACACCGGCCATGATTATCATCAATATTTTTCTATTTTATTTTGTAGCGTGCGTCGTAGTCTCATGGTATTTTCCCTTCCACAATAATCAACGGATCCATGATACTAAAAAAACGCTAAGGCGCTGATAAATAAACAAAAATAAATGTGAAAAATTGTAGTCACAACGAGACGTAATATCGACGTGATGCGATCAAATGCAACTAAATACTTCTATGCTGGCCCCCCAAAAGGAAGGCTTTTGTTGGTTGGATATTAGATTTTAACATATTTATAAATTCAGACAAAAAAAATTACTCAGATTACGACGCCATGAACCGGCTTGAACCGAACCGAATCGTCAAACTACTCGGATTCCTTTACTTATTACACGAACTGAACGAGACCCAAATTGGAAAAGACCCGAAATCTTCTGTTTGGTTAGGTTCGGGTATTTTTGACATCCCTCTTCGAACTCTAATCAATAGGGACGAGCATGATTTCAGGGTAGAACTGGGAATCAATCCGATTTTAGGTTTTGATGAGATCCAATCTGGTTCCCAATTCCATATTTTTAGGAACCTATACTATCGGTTCCCGGAGGAACTGGATTGAGAAACTGAGAACCGAACCCTACAGAACCTTAAACTAGAAATTGACTTGTGCACTTTGGCTTTCTCGTTCTACGAAACCCGAATCTTCCTCTACGTGAGTGACTCCTTGGCTTTCTAACGTAGAAGTACGATGTGTCCAGGCGGACATTCTCGACATGGCCTCGCGACAGAAAGAGGTAAAATCCTTTGTGCGTCGAGTTCTCGAACCTATGGCGATCTGTTTTCACTAACAAATGATTTCCTCCTCGTCGAGTTGGATCAGATTGCAAATTGTGATGATGGGTTGTGTGATTTGTAGGTGAAGATCATGACGAAGCTGCACCGGAGGGATGCGAGGGAGAAGCTGCTTCAGGCTATTGACGATCTGAAGCTGGACTGCAATTCAAGAAAAGATATATTTAAACTAAAACTTGGATTTTGACCCAAAAAAAATAAAAAATAAAACTTGGAATCCGAGAAAATTGTAAGGCGGCTTTTGACAATTACTTTGGCTAATTAAATACAACGGTCCATTTTGTTTGTAATGCATTATTTTGATTAAATTCCACACGACACGTTTGGTAGAATTACGTTTTTGGATAAAGAATGAGGTTTTTTTTTTTTGGCTGACGGATAAAGAATGGGGTTAAAAAGGTGCATTAGATTTATACAATAACTAAAAATGAAACTAAAAATAAAAAGGAAATTGGTTTCATGGGTAGACCCTGAAATCGACTCTCGAACTTATGAGTAGGGGCGTCAACGGCTCGGTTCGGTTCGGGTTTCTTAAAAGCCCGAACTGAACTGAATCGGAAACCCGAACTAAACCGTTTGGGTGTGCATTAGCTATGAATGGAACCGAATATAACCCATATCGAAAATCCGGTTCGGTTCAGTTTTTTTTTTTTTTTTTTTGTAATATTAAGAAGATGTTTAGTGAAAAAGGAGAGAGATTGTGTAAATTGTAATATTAAGAAGAGGGACGATTTTCGGTTCGGTTCGGTTCAACAAACTGAACCCAAACTATCCGAACCGGAATAAGAAATAGTCACTTTCTTATTATTCGGACCGAACTGAAAATGCACGAAATTCCGATTTGATCACCCCTACCCGTGATGGGGCAAGTTCTAGGTTTTAGGGTATGCAACTGTTGACGCCAATAAATTAATTAGGTCGTTGACAGTAAAAATAAATACACGAAAAGAAACAAGGATAAATACATCAGGATCATCGATGAGAGGTGACGTAAGCCATAAATGTTTGGCTATCAAGATTACGACAGCAGATAGCTGGCAATCATTAAAATATCCTAGTGGGAAGTTTAAGAATTTGAAAATTGAAAAGATTGATGTCATAGAAGAAATAGTTGCTGCCCGGGTATTCGTACTGTGGATTGTTGACGAGAATTGTTATGAAAATACCAGGCCATCGAAGCTATCGATAAGAAAAGGAACACGTGGTTTTTTGCACGATCAATGATGGATACTTGGCAAGAAGAGACAGATGTCGAGACAGGAACAAGATCGATGACGGTTACCATAGGTAGAAGGGCAGATGTCAAAATAAAAACAAGATCGATGACAGTTACCTCATAGGAAATAACAAGTGTCAAGACAAAGAAGAGATCGATGACAAGTGTCAAAGCAAGGACAGGGTCAAGCAGTAGTTATTTGAGAAAATTGAGATGAAGGAAAAGATGAGACCGACGGCAGTTATTAGATGTAATCTGACAAAAGGCTTAAAAGTACAGTTATCGTGGTTTGGGAATTATCTTTACTTTGTCGTACCGTACTTTCAGTTTCTTTAGCTATAGTCATCTACGTTTTCAGCACAATAGTTTTGGAGCATGGTAACGATGGAGTTCAAATGTCACGTTGCCAGTCAGTAGTTGGTCAGATCCATTTGAATCGTCTATAGAGTTCGAAGTTCGTGTCCTTTGATCAAAATAAACAAGTTCTTTGTTCTTGCCCGAATATCTCCTGTCTCGAGTCGCCGCAGAACCCGGTCCCCTCTCATTAAAAACCGAAGAACGACTTTTAGTGAATTATATTTCGTCGCGGGATCAATTCCGGCGAAACGGCAGTGTAGGTTCCAGATTCCAAAGAAACTGGGGGAACCGGTTCCCGACGAGCAGGTTTCAAGTTTCGGGACGTGAACCCGGACTGAAACCTGGAACCGCCTAACCCCGCCCCCCGGCTAATCTTAGCGCGTCGCCTCGAATGGAATAAAGCGGGGGGTGGCTGTCGATTCCCGATTGATCGGATCGATTCAACAAAGATTTTATAGCCCCCTCGATGCGGAGGGAAGAATCATATAATATTTGCGGAGGGGTTCCTTCTTTCGTGGGCACGGCAGACGGCAGACGGCAGTCCTTGTGCGATGCTCTCCGCATCGTCCTCCCAAGAGCATCTTCTTCCCTGCCCCCACTTCCCCCATTAGGGAAAAAAAAAAAGGTCCGCCGCCCACGGAGTCTACGCGGGGTACAACGGCCCACCCGCCACCACCACCACCCGTCCACATCCGAAGTCACACGAATATAACTATGCACGTTTGATTATTATTATTATTATATCGATAATGTAAGGGCGTGATCGGTCCGTCATGCCTTATCACGTGCATTTGAATTCTCTCCTTTGTGTTTTTTTTTTTTGAATCTTCTGGTATAGATTAGGTAGCCCCCGGCTGCGATGACCAGTTTGATGAAACCGTACGGTTTTTTTAAATGTATAATTAGTCTCCGGGTGAGAAATGTATTCTTGGTGCCCCGGGATTTGGACCGTTCTGAATTGCTGCGAAGCCCGTGGACGTGGTCGGTTTAAGGATTTCTCCTTTGTGATCGGGTGCCTGTCTTCGAGCACCGGCGCCGCACGACCTGCCTCGCGATAAATTGCGTTCCCCGGCGGTGTACATCAAAACGGGATGCAATAACTTTCTCGAGTATAGGTTTAGGTATGGGACCGGCTGTTTTTACTGTTTGTCTAGGCTATTGATCTCCGGGCGGTTGTTGTGGCTTCTCTCCCTCGAGTTATCTTCGAGGGCCGGGGCAACCATTCAGATGAACTATTATTAATCGATTGACAATCACGGGATGCCGTATGTGCATTCGCAAGGGGTAATCTACTCGAACCGAGGTGCAAATGTTATATCTATTCAAGGAATCAGAGGTCCTTCATTCAGATCCTACTAATCGCATGCAAATTCGTGCCGGATCGGGACCCGCCCGCATTGATCGAAAAGGTCCGAGTTTAACCGAGTCATCGGGCTTAGGGACGGGTTTTACGGTCCGAATCATTTGGATTTTTTAGATTAGAAAAAAAAAATATATATATATATATATATATATATATTTTTTTTTTATCAAGGAAAATGAAAAGAGAGAAAAGGAATGAATAAGAACATCGGGGGAAAAAATGGGGGGTGGGTCCCCACCGCGGGGGCGCAACAACATTTGGTGCTTGGTTACGGTTCTGTTCTTATCTTTTGACTCGCTGGAACGGAAATAGGTACGGTCCTTGCACGTTCACGTGGGCCCCCCGCACCCACCGTCCGTCCCGCCCCCCCACCGTACACATCCTTGCATCACCCCCCGGGCGGCGGCCGCGATCCCCTGCGGCACCACCCGCCACCCACTCCTCCACGTGGCCCGCATCTCAGCCGCCCGATTCGAACCGATCAGGCGACCCTCGAGGGAAAAATCAGTTGAATAGAGCCGGTCCCGCCGTTCATCTGGCTCGGTGGGCATGGGCAGCTCCGCATTGGATCACGCACGCTCTCTCTCTCTCTTTTCCCATACATTTCTCTCTCTCTCGCTCTCTCTCTTCTCGGCAACTTCGTCGCCGTATCCAAACTAACTCCTCCGCCTCCGCTCCGCTCCGTCGCGCCCGCTTCATATCTCGCCCGCCGATCTGAGCCATGAAATCCGCCCAGCGCCGCCGCCGCCGCCTCGCGGCTCCTCCGCCCCTCCCTCGCCCCGATCACCGCCCCCTCCTCCACCTCCGCCTCCTCTTCCTCTTCGTCCCCACCTAAAGCAGCGCCCTCCCTCCGCCGCCGCGTTTCACTGATCTTCTCCTCCTTCTTCTTCCTCGAATCGTTCCGTTTTCCGCAGAACTCTCTCTCTCTCTCTCTCTCTCTCTAGCTTTTGCTCTTTCATGGCGTCGCTCGAGAGCCTGACGGAGGACCTGCTCGTCCGCATCTACAAGGGCCTCGCCTCCGACGCTGATCGCAAGTCGTGGCGGCTCGCGTGCCGCGACTTCCACCGGATCGACGCCCTCGCGCGCTCCTCCCTCCGCGTCCTGCGCGCCGAGTACCTCCACTCACTCCTCGCCAACTACCCTCGCCTCCACACGCTGGACCTCTCCGTCTGCCCCCGGATTGACGACGCCGCCGTCTCGGTGCTGCTGAGCGGGAGCGCGCCCAGCGTGTTCCCGCGGGCCCCTTCCCTCCTGCCGCCGCCGAGGAGCCGCGACCCGCTGGGCTGGGCCCGGGGCCTGAGGAAGCTGGTGCTGAGCCGGTCCACCGGGCTGGGCCACTGCGGGCTCGAGCAGGTGATAAGGGCGTGCGCTTATCTGGAGAGCGTCGACGTGTCGCATTGTTGCGGGTTCGGGGACCGGGAGGCGGCGGCGCTGTCGTGCGGGGAGAGGCTGAGGGAAGTGAAGATGGACAAGTGCTTGGGAGTGACCGACGTCGGGTTGGCCAAGATCGCTGTGGGTTGTGGGAGGTTGGAGAAGGTGAGCTTGAAGTGGTGCATGGAGATTACTGATTTAGGGGTGGATCTATTGTGCAAGAAGTGCGTGGGCTTGAAGTTCCTTGATTTGTCTTACCTCAAGGTTCGCTGCTTTTGATTCTTCGCTCTCGTTTCAAATTTAGAAAGTCGAATATGCTGTTCCTGGGTTGATAGGGTTCATCATTTTTAATGTGCAAGCAAAGGGTTAACGGTGGCGGCCCTTGCTTCATTTATCAGTGCATTTGTCGGGCTACAGTAACATATGCTTTGTACTGTAAAAAGATGATGTTTGCAGTTTTCCAATTTCTTGAAATGTGTCGAATTTACTGGATTTTATTAACTCTAAATTTTTCGATGTAGAAAGTTTCTGTTTTTAGTAGAGCTTTCCGATGCTGTCGACGTAAGGATTAAGAGTATCCTTGCCAGTTGCCCCGTTTGTGCGGGTTGGTTATATTTGGGAAGATTTTATGTTTTGCTCTCTCTCTCACTACTCTTCTCTCTTCCTGGTTTTTTGCTTCTTGCATCATCTATGCTATATGAGTAGATGCTTGTGAATAAGAGATGCAAGTTGAACCTGGTTCATGGAAAAAGATTGTGCTTTAAGATATAATTTTGAATCCGAATGGCAGGCTTTGGTTATTTCTAGAACGGTGGATGCCTTTGGATTTCAGGGATTTTAAGAAACGAAATATCGTGAATTGCGATGCATTGTTGCTTGAGGATTTTCTTTTTCTGTGTTTCTGATTGTGTTCTTTTTCCAAAACTTTCACCTCTGAGCTACCTTAGGTTACAAACGACTCCCTGCGATCAATCGGTTCTCTACCAAAGTTGGAAGTTTTGGCTTTGGTGGGTTGTTCTCTCATTGATAACACTGGATTACAATTCCTCGGGAATGGATGCCCTTTGTTGCGGGTAATGGTTGTTGCATGTGAATAATACTCATTTTTAGGATGATGGGAAAGTTTTACAGGTCCATAATGCTAAGGGGCGACTTTGATGCTTGCAGGTCATTGATATGTCGAGGTGCAATGGCATCAGTTCTTCTGGTTTGGTCTCTGTTGTTAAAGGACATGAAAATCTCGTGCAGCTTAATGCAAGTTACAGCTTGACGGTTAGTGTTTTCTCCAGCTTCACGACTCGTGCATCTTGCTCTGTGTTTCTGTACTCTTTAAAGTAAATTTCATCTACAATCTGGACGTGTGAACAGGAGTGCTCATCAAGCCTTCTCCACTGCTTTAAAGATTTGAAGAATCTGAAGGCCATTAAAATTGACGGGGCTCGAGTTTCAGACTCCGCTTTCAAAGCATTGAGCAATTGCACGTCATTGGTGGAAATTGGACTAGGCAAGTGCATAGGGGCGACGAACCTGGGTCTCATGCGCCTCGTCTCTGGCTTTGTTAACTTGAGGGTCCTTGACTTGACATGTTGCCATTCCATAACCGACGCGGCAATTTTTGCTATATCAGATTCTTGCCGCAACCTAACGTGTCTGAAGCTAGAATCTTGCAATATGATCACTGAGAAAAGTCTCTATTACCTTGGATCATTTTGTTTGCTACTTGAGGAGCTTGATCTTACTGATTGTGGTGGGATAAACGATACAGGTAATTTGGGAAAATTTGGAAAACCAAAGAAATCGCACATTCTTTGTAATTCCTGTTAGCATGTAATTTCGTTCCTTACGGCTGATTGTCAAGTACTTCAGTTTGTCAAAGCTTATCTTGCCCTTTCTGCTTCTTGCACACTTATGCTTTTGTTGGACATTAGTGCATCTTTTTCTTTCTGAAATTCCTGTTTGACCGTTGAAACTTTCTCTGTTCAATACCATTGATTAGATCCTCCCCTTCTCCTGCAGGACTTGAGTATCTTTCTAATTGTTTGGAGCTTTCATGCTTAAAGCTGGCGCTATGCCCAACTATATCTGACAAAGGATTAGGTCATATTGCCTCCAAATGCAGGAAGATCTGTGAGATTGATCTTTACCGGTAATATTTTGACACCGATTAGATTTGCCTTTTAGACTTGTATTTATCGTAAAAAAATTCTTAATGTATCTTGAATATGGACTGTAGTTGTACCGGGATTGGAGACGATGCATTAGCTGCTCTATCAAGCGGTTTCAAGAAGCTGAGGAGGCTCAATTTGTCATACTGCCCTGATGTTACAGACAGAGGGATGAAATATCTTGGCCAATTAGAAGAACTTTGGGACCTAGAGATGCGTGGGCTTGTCAATGTGACAGGTGTTGGTTTGACAGCACTTGCAGCCGGATGCAAGAGATTGGCTGATTTAGACATGAAATACTGTGAAAATGTTGATGATTCAGGCTTCTGGGCACTTGCCTACTATGCACGGAACTTGCGACAGGTACAGTTGCTGCAGGGCTCTATAAGTTAACTTTCATCATAACAATTTTTATAAGGAATGGTAAGAGTATGAAAGTAAAGCCTCGAGGGAGATACCTTTCTAGACGTTTGAAAATGTACCATTTCATGGAAACGTGAGGGTCAATGTGCTCTTCATCGGATTTTGGACATGTTATCAAGTAATTTAGGGGCACTCATATGAGCATTTCTCGTGTCATAATTCTCAGATCCAACATCTGTTAAAATTCACGAAAACCCATCAAGTTCTCTTTATTTTAACTTGGTCCACTGAATTTATCATAAAAACTCCCTTGTTTATCTAGAAAAAGCGCTGCCTGTGGAAAATAACATTTTCACTAATCGAACATGGATAGTTAATATCCTTTTCCTGTTGCTTTTAGGTCGGCTATTCTCAGTAGTTAGTGTACCACACTGAAACTAGAGAAATGATGGTGGGTTGTCTGATATCAACCTTTTTTAATTCCTTCCTTTCATTGTCATTTTTTGGTGAGAAAGCGTCAAATTATTTGCCTAAAGTAGTAAAGGAGAGAAGACGGTTGGTAACCTTTTCTGATAGGTAAACTTAGTGTCCTTGACTAGAAATAAAGAGCAGGGGTGCAACTTACCTACTACTGTTGCTACATGCCCAACAATAAATTAAGAACCATGTACAATCAAAGAAGCGAACTATGTTATGCTTTCCCATTTCCTACATGTCCCTTTGATTGTCGCTTGTGAACCTTCTTTCTAAATGTTCAAATTTGCCATTCTATATCTATTAGCACAAATAATCTGTTGTCTCATCTGCAAAACATCAAACCTCCTTCTCCTAACAATTGTTAAATACTTGCTAAAAGGTGAGACAAATTTCATCCACATGCTCCTACAACCAAACAATTTGTAGCCTGCTCTTACCTCCATGAATATTACTTAGAAGCTGATCTCGAAAATGGAAGCTGCTTAGCTTATAATGCTAATGAACAGTTCCATTATTTATTGTTCAGGAGCTACTAGCTAGGCCTGGATATTGTGGTCGGTTCTAATTAGTTCTTTAATTTGCTGAGTATGTAATCTTATGCTTCTCAACTACTACGCTTGTGGCAGATAAACTTAAGCCACTGCAACATTTCTAACATGGGGCTGTGCATGGTGATGAGCAATTTGACACGCCTGCAGGAGGCGAAGCTGGTGCATCTCAACAAAGTGACAGTCGAAGGCTTTGAGCTCGCACTTCGGACGTGCTGGGTCAGGATAAAAAAGGTCAAGTTGCTCGCTGCTTTAAGATTCAAGCTTTCCTTTGACGTACGCGAGACTTTGCGTGCTAGAGGCTGCAAGATAAGATGGGATTAGCAGACAGATCACACCCAGAATCATGTGCTCGGTATCAAAGATCCGGCGTATCTCACATAGTTTCTGGAATTAGATGTGCCCTAGAGCAGCTCAACTGGTGTATTGAGCAGTCTATATTTGACTTAACTATAGCTTATTGTGCTGCACGAAGATCAGACTCACTTAACCAATACCCTTGCCGACAATTCGGATACAGAAATGGGTAACCTTACTTTCCATAGTAGTCCAATCCAACGTGTACTTTCTCTTCTTGGTGAAAACCATGTGTAGGTGGGTTTTGGAAGTTCTTTGTACTTGGAACTCTTGCTTCATACAGCCTACTTGATCTGAACTGATAAACTTACTCATAATTCACCCTGGTTTCAAGGATCTCGGCCTTGCCTATGTAATCAAAGTTTAAAAGTTGCTTCTGCGAGCCCTTTGAATATATTCCATTCCAATTAATCATGTCGACTGATTTGTGTAATAAGAGATGTGGCACATCAGCACTTGATGCTTTTGAAGTCGCCGCAAAGGCTCGGAGGATCGCTTGTTGGGTGCACCAAGCGGTGAAAAAAGGCAGGGAATCTGTAAGCAAGGCGTTACTTCCTTATGAGAAAAAGCACAAAGGGAAGGTAAAGGGAAGGTAAATGCGAGAATTCAAAGGACTTGACCCTTTCCTTTCAGGCCAAACAATCCCACCACTTTCTTTAACACCAGGAATAAGTGCATTCAAAGTCCTAAAATTTATCACGAACGTGCAATTGAGTCCTAAAGCTTCCATAATGTGTAATGAAGTCCTAAAACTTGTTAGGAAAGTGCAATTGAGTTCTAAAACTTTCAAAAAGTGCAAACAAGTCCTAAAATTTGTCACGAAAGTGTAAACAAGTCCTAAAATTTAATTGCACCTTTGTGATAAGTTTTAGGATTTGATTGCACTTTCGTGATAAGTTTTAGGACTTGATTACACTTTTTAAAGTTTTAGGACTTGATTGCACTTTCCTGATAAGTTTTAGGACCTGATTGTACTTTCGTGACAAGTTTTAGGACTTGATCGCATTTTTTGAAAGTTTTATGACTCAATTGCACTTTCCTGACAAGTTTTAGAACTTGTAGTGCTCTTATCCCTTAAAACTATATACATGAATAAATTCTCAGTTCACGTTCTGATGACCTGACCACCAGTTGCTTTTCCAATCTCCTTCCAGCTCTCAGATTGCCAGAAATGGCCTTAGTGAATTTCCTCCTCGTCCTCGTTCTCTTGCCATCCCTTGAAAATCTGTCCCAGGCAACCTCCTCAAAAGAACAGACCCTCCACATTCAAGACTTGCTTCCCCTAGTCTGCAAGGACGTCGAAGCCCAAAGCTCGTGCCTTCTGAACGTGCAGGCCGAGCTCGATGATGTCGGGCCTCCCAGTTCCAGTTCGGTCCTTAGCGCCGCGCTGCAAGCCACTCTCAACGAAGCGAGAGCGGCCATCGAGTCGATCTCGAAGTTCACCGCCTTGTCCTTGAGTTACCGCGAACAGGTCGCGATCGGGGACTGCAAGGAGCTGCTGGATTTCTCCATCTCGGAGATCGCCTGGTCCATGGGAGAGATGAAAAAGATTGAGGCCGGCTCGAAGAACAGCCACTACGGAGGAAACCTGAAAGCGTGGCTCAGCGCGGCGCTGAGCAACCAAGACACGTGCCTCGAAGGCTTCGAGGGCACGGACGGGCGCATGGAGAATTTCATCAGGGGGAGCTTGAAGCAAGTCACGCAGCTCATCGGGAATGTGTTGACTATGTATTCTGAATTGAACAGTTTACCGTCCCCGTCGCCTCGTACCAACTCCAGCGACGGAACGTCGGAGTATCCGACATGGATGACGGAAGGCGATCAAGAGCTGCTCAAGGCAAGTCCGGTTGGCATGCACGTAGATGCCGTCGTCGCTTCGGATGGGAGCGGACATTACCGCACCATCACGGAGGCGATCCTCGAAGCTCCAAGCTATAGCAACAGGAGGTACATCATATATATCAAGAAGGGTGTTTACAGGGAGAACATCGACTTGAAGAAGAAGAAAACGAGCATAATGTTTGTCGGAGATGGCATCGGAGCCACCGTCGTCACCGGTAATCGACATTTTATGCAGGGATGGACGACCTTTAGGACTGCTACTGTTGGTGAGGAACCTTAATATTGACGCAAAATATTTTGGATTTGATTTGAAACATTAACTTTGAGTTTGAGGCCATGTTTGTAAGCGTTTGAAAATGAAATGAATCTAACATATCTATTTACCATCTCTCGCTTTATCACGATTTATAGCGGTGTCCGGCAAGGGGTTCATAGCGCGGGACATGACCTTCCGCAACACGGCGGGGCCGCAGAACCACCAGGCGGTGGCGCTCCGCGTGGACTCGGACCAGTCCGCGTTCTACCGATGCAGCATGGAGGGCTACCAGGACACGCTCTACGCCCACTCCCTGCGCCAGTTCTACCGCGAGTGCGAGGTCCACGGCACCATCGACTTCATCTTCGGGAACGGCGCGGCGGTCCTCCAGAGCTGCAAGATATTCACCAGGGTGCCCCTGCCCCTCCAGAAGGTGACCATCACAGCACAGGGAAGGAAGAGCCCTTACCAGAGCACCGGGTTCTCAATCCAGGACTCCTATGTCTTGGCCACCCGGCCCACTTACCTCGGCAGGCCATGGAAGGAATTCTCAAGGACCGTCTTCCTCAACACCTACATGAGCAGTCAGGTCCAGCCGAGAGGCTGGCTCGAGTGGTACGGCGACTTCGCTCTCAGCACGCTGTGGTACGGCGAGTACCGAAGCTACGGCCCCGGCGCCTCGCTCTCGGGCCGCATCGCGTGGCCCGGCTACCACATCATCCGCGACGCCGCCACGGCCGATTTCTTCACGGTCCGGCGGTTCATCGACGGGACTGCATGGTTGCCGGCCACCGGGGTCAGGTTCAGCGCCGGATTGAGCAATTGAAAGTCCTTTGAACGTAGAGAGATTTGTCATGTCTACTTCAAGGGGCAAATTCACTCTAGCAGTATACGATCAACTTTTTCACTTTTCCATTTTTATGCGGCAAAAAACTTAAACAATGTATTATTAATTTGCGTACATTAGGAAATAAAATATACCTCGTCAAATTTATCTCCGTCGTCTCTCCACCCAAACGAAATTTAACTAAGCGAGCGCTTCTTCTTTCGTACGCCGAATTTCCAATGCCCTTAGCATCATCGGGGGTATCACTAGGAGTCACGCGCGAGTATAAATACGTACGGACGGACGTTCTTTCTATTTTTTTTTTTTCAATTTACGGATTAAACCCATTTTATTCTTTGTGATTTTATGTCGAAAACTTCACCAGGGAGAGACGCACTCGAGCCAGCCTACGATGGTTACGTCCAACATGAGGCAAGCCATGAATAGAACAATCGAGCAATACTTAATTTGGGCAATTTCTGCTATTTTTGAAGGAGCGTTCATCCCTAATTTCTCTCTAGGCCGCAGGTTCCACAACCAATTTCAAAACCAATGTTCCATATAAACTCATCCCCATCTTCCCACCTCCAATGTTCATCAAACCACGGGAGGGCCTCGTCGTCTACCTTCTTAGACCCTCTCTTTGGTAAATAATCTTCTTCGTTTTCGATTATATACTACCAATCTTTTGTTTCCTTAGGGAAGAATTATAGCCTTTGTGCGCGCCGGGGAGGTCGGGGATTAAGTTGGGGGGGGAAAGGATGTCGAACGACGCGGCGAGAAAGAAGAAGGTCGCCATCGCGGCGGCCAGCGCGTTGATCCTGGTGGTCGCCGCCGTCGCGGTGGTCGCCGCCGTCACCAAGAGCTCTAGCGGGAGCGGGGACGCGCAGGGCGAGACGAAGCAGGTTTCCGCCACCATGAAGGCCATCCAGGCCATGTGCCAGCCGACGGACTACAAGGAAGCGTGCGTCAAGAGCCTCGAGACCGCCGGGCCGAATGTTACCGACCCTAAGGAGCTCATCAAGGCGGGGTTCAACGTCGCCATGAAGAAGATCTCCGAGGCGGCCGAGAAATCGGTCACGTTGAAGGAGCTCGCCAAGGATCCTAGGACCTCGCAAGCCCTCGAGAACTGCAAGGAGCTGATGGAGTACGCCATTGACGACCTCCAGAACTCTTTCGACAAGCTAGGAGCCCTGGACATGAGCAAGGTCGACGAGTTCTTGGCAGACTTGAAAACCTGGCTCAGCGCGTCCATTACCTACCAGGAGACTTGCTTGGACGGGTTCGAGAACGCCACCGGCGACGCGGGCGAGAAGATGAGGAAGGCCTTGAACTCCACCGCCGAGCTGACCAGCAACGGGCTCGCCATGGTCACCGAGATCTCCTCGGTCCTCACGAACCTGAACCTCAACTTCTTGAGCGGCAACCGCAAGCTCCTCCAGGATACCGAGGTCGAGGTCCTCGGGCACGGCGAGTTCCCGCTGTGGATGGACCCCGTCAAGCGGAGGTTGCTCCAGGCCAAGGTCGGGGCGGACCTCAAGCCGGACCTCGTCGTGGCCAAGGACGGGAGCGGCAAGTACAAGACCATCACCGAGGCATTGAAGGACATCCCGTTGAAGAGCAACAACACGTTCGTGCTGTACATCAAGGAGGGAGTCTACAGAGAGCAGGTGATCTTCGACAAGAAGATGACGCATTTGGTGGTCATCGGAGACGGACCGACCAAGACAAGGATCGTCTATAACAGCAACTACGTTGATGGTGTCAACACCTTCAAAACCGCCACCGTTTGTAAGTATCTCTGTTCCTCTGATCTTGGTGAATCTAACTCCAGACAATGCCATGAACCTAGTTCATATTACCAATCCTCTCGTGCTCGAACTGATGTGATTTTCTATATTCTCGCGACATTGCGTTAGCCGCCCTCGGGGACTACTTCTTCGCCAAGGACATCGGGTTCGAGAACGACGCGGGCGCGATCAAGCACCAGGCCGTGGCGTTGAGGGTCCAATCCGACTTCTCCGTCTTCTACAACTGCCACATGGACGGGTACCAGGACACCCTCTACACCCACGCCCACCGACAGTTCTACCGCGACTGCACCATCACGGGCACCATCGACTTCATCTTCGGCGACGCCGGCGCCATCTTCCAGAACTGCAAGATGCTCGTCCGCAGGCCGTTGGATAACCAGCAGTGCATCGTCACCGCCCAAGGCCGGAAGGAGAGGCGCCAGCCCTCGGCCATCATCCTCCAGAACTGCACCATCTCCGCCGACGCCTCTTACCTTCCCGTCAAGGACCAATTCAGGTGAGGACCGCACATCAGGTCCAACTTATCTTCGCCAATATCCGCTAATCATATAGTAGACCTTATATTTACATGAAAATCGAACAAATTTCACAATGTCTAGCATACACACGCACACCTAAGATTATGTTAATCGAAAAGCGTCCATTCGGGGTCCGGTCGAACCTATCCGAGTTTCTCCGATCCGGCGAATTCATGAAGCGTACCCCTTCCTAACGAATCCCTTCCGTTTCCTCTCCAGGTCCTTCCTCGGCCGCCCGTGGAAGCAGTACTCGAGGACCATCATCATGCAATCCTACATCGACGACATCATCCAGCCCGAGGGCTGGCTGCCTTGGCTCGGAGACTTCGGCCTCAATACCTGCTTCTACTCCGAGTTCGGCAACCGCGGGCCCGGATCGAGCACGGCCGGCCGCGCCAAGTGGAGGGGCGTCAAGACCATCACCGCGGAGCACGCCGCCGACTTCACCGCCGGGAGATTCTTGCGCGGCAGCGCCTGGATCCCGAAATTCGGCGTCCCGTTTACCGCCGGAATGGTGGCCGTCTAAACTGAAACTCTCCCTAATCCTGCGGTTGTTCCATAACTACATATTCTTGGGTCGTCATTGGAGGTGTCTTGGTTTTTGGTTTTTCCTTCCTCGGGTGTATCGGAAATGATCAATGATGTAATAACTATTACACATGATTCGAAGTAATATACTTCTCTTCCCGTGCCTCATGATGATCTTCACTCGAAAATGAGCAGCATTTTCCTGAATTGTTCATCGTCGTACCTCTCAAGAAACACTATAGTCGCATTTTCATGATTCGAAAGGATGGTAACATAGTACTACAACGGCACCTAAAAATCTCTCTTTCGATCGCTCGCCGTCTTTTAAGGTAGGCCGTTCCCGACCGGCGCGACTCGCGCCGCTTCGAGAGGCGGCGAGCCTCGGGCCAAGACATCGGGACATTTCTAGGTCCGACGGCGGTCGGGTCGGACCGGGCTGTGCCTAATATCTAAGTCCCATTGGTGTCCGAACATAGCGTAAGGTTTGCCCTTTTCCTCAATTTGGGTGGTGGCCGTGGAATTCAGTTTGCTTGAGTAGTTAAATACATATCGCTTTACCGAGCATGCCTTTTTATGTACAGTTGCATGTTTTTCCGATCTAACTTTTCGTGTCCGTCACATTTTTGTACTTGAATATATTCATGCATATCCATAGTCGCGACCTAAGTTTAACATTAATGAGAGTAGAGATATTGCAATGCAAGGTACAGCTACAATAAGATTTATCGTGCTTATCTATATAGCTCATGACCCGATATAAATTTAGATAAATCGCAATGAGGGCATCTTTAAAAGTATACATACGAACTACTAAACTTGATTGTGTTTGTGTATTTGATCATTCAAGCTCGCACGTAAAAAATACTTGGAAACTACCTAGAGATAAAAATTGAGAAAATTTTCAAAAAAATCATAAACCTATCGCGCTTATGTTAATTCAATTATAAACCTTTCAATGTGATAATTCAGTCATAAATCTTTAGACGATTTGTCAATGTAGTTCTTTCGGCTAATTTTGATCGGAAAACGCTAATGTGACAATCCAGTCGATGTCAGCCGTCCTATGTGGTGTGGCCAACGCTACCTTTTTTTTTTGTTTTTTTTTTCTTTCCTTTTCGCAAGTGGCTGGCGACCCTCGCTTGTGGTTGGCAAGGGTCGCGACCCTCGCCAGCAGCCAACAAGGGCTCTCTGGCCCTCGCCCAATGGCTAACAAGGGTTGCTAGGCCCACGTTGGCGGCAATGAAGGAAAAAAAAAGAAAAAATTCAAAAAAATTTAACAAAAATTGCAAAAATTGTCTACACCAGGGTAAGCGATGTCATGTAGGACAGTCTACGCCCACATCAGCGATTTCCAGACAGAATTGACTCGATGGGATACATTGACAAATTGTCAAAATGTTTGTGACGGAATTGACCAAATGGTTTAAGATGGAATTGGCATAAATGTAATAGGTTTATGAGTTTTTTGGTAACTTTTCTTATAAAAATTACACGTGTTATTTTTATGTATGCCATAATCTAAGTGAATCATAGAGATGCATTAAGAGGAGGGAATTTACTCAACAAATCTGACCACAGACATGCACCACTAGATATACAGCTCATTCGTGGAGTACAGTACTACATTGTTTTAAAAAACATAGCTTGTGTTTATAATTTTGGTAATATTTAGATTTTTTTTTGGACAAAGTAATATTTAGATTTAGCTTCCTATTGGAATGGTGCGCAACATATATTTGTCATCTTGGGTTTTATAGTATATTTGGCTTCCCATTTATACATTTCTTTCCTTTTGACATAAATGAGTTAGGCCCAGCACAAAACTCAAGTACATTGTACGATAACTTAGAATCCATGCCATCGTACCTTTCCAAATTTCAGCCCCCGTCAATGAGTTAGGCCCTAGTGACTCGTATTCACAAAATCTCGATTCACCCATCACATCCTCTTAGTCTGATTCCAATCCTTTCGCGCCCAATATCATTTCTTAAGCCTCGAGCTCGAGTCCCGATCCGAAAAATCTCCAACATATCGCAAGGCAGATCGGGGCTGTGGGAGACCCCGAGCTTTTAACGGACGCTGGATTTCCTCGAATCCGCACTAGGGAAGAAGAACGTGAAGGTAATCGTGATTTTCTTATAGTAAACATAATTACTAGTAATTTACGGGGGGGGGCAAAAATCGAGCCGTTAAATTGGAGGAGAACGGGAGAAGAACATCCGTCCTCTCGATCAATTGGATCGGGCCATGACCCGATCCACCAACCGCGGGCCGAGCCGAGCCGAGCCCATGATCGGGTCCACGGCTCCGAAGGGCGCCGTCATCGTCGTCATCGCCAAAAACCCTAGCCTCCCCAAGAAGAAGAGCCATTTCGCCTATTTAAAGCCCCGCCTCATCGAAACCAAAACCTTACAAAGCTTAGGGCTTCTGCTCCCGCGGCCGCCGCCGCCTGCATCGCCGCGCCGGCACCTCCATCGGCGTTTCGATTAGCCGTTCTTCTCGTTTCCCGATCTTCGAGATCGTGTTTGTCGTTGTTGCGTTTTCTGCCGATCGGCCGCACGTAAGTTCTTCCTGGAAATCTCCCCCCACCCCAGCCCATCTCGCTGGCGGGGAATGGTTCCGAGGATTTTATATGTGCGCACAGCGAAGCTCGATCCTGATCTGCTTGAGCCTTCTCCTTTCTCTCTCTCTTTGTCTCCCACGGAGATGCGCTCCAATGTAATCGGATCACAGTTTTTGATTTCTCTCTTTCCTTTCCTTTCTCTAGTTTCTTTCTTTTTTCTTGTAACGACCCGGACTCCTGCACCGGTCGCACTATAAGAGTCCGAGTCCGACCGATCAGGTACTAATCGAAAGAAAATTAGCCAAATTCACGCACTACAAGAGTCCAACCGACCAAGTACTAATCGAAAGAAAACTAGCCAAACCCACGCACAAGCTTTCATTGTCAGTCAAGAATGTGATAAGATGGTCAAGAATGTGATAAGATGGAGGACAAAGGAATTCGAACTTGAAATCAATCACCCATAAGCCCAAAGCTCTTACCATTTCGCCTACACCTACAGCATAGAGGGTCTTTCTCTAGGTTTTTAGCTTTGCTGCTTTGGATTCGTCTCTCCGCGGCGATGGTGCTTCACAAATTTTGAGCTGATTAAAATAATAATTTATATTTAAATATCTTTGTCGATAGCGAAAAACATATTATTTTCGCCCGTTTTCCTAAACAAGAGAAACCATCGATTAAGGAAAAAAAAATCCCGTTTTTCAATATATTGATTTTCTTTGGAGTCTTTGATGAATGTATTCCGATATATTTAGCATTTTGCGGTGTTTTGTATTAGGCATAATCGAGAGCTCTCTTTTCTTTTCCTTTTTCGGAATCTGCTACTTTTTGTTTTTTTTCGATATTTGAAATAAAAAAGAAAATGCGTTTCATATTTCATATTTTTAAATTACTAAAAGCGATGGACAAACCATGTTACTTAGGTTTTATCATATGCCACTCAAGTATTGTGAGCAACAAAAGGCCTTAATGTACTAATGGATTAATATCACCAAAAATCTCAAATTGATATATCCGTGATAAATTTATCCCGAACGAATTTTTTGATCACCAAAAATTTCAAATTGGTACACCTGTCATAAATTTACCCTATATTAAATTGGATTAATACCACGAAAAATCACAAATTGGTAAACTGGTGACAAGCAAATTGGTAAATCCGTGACAAACGAAGGAGTAAAATCTTAAAAACTCAGCAATTAACCGGAAACTAACGGATGGTAAGATCGTCACAAGTACATCACTTTGAGGTCTTTCGTGATATGAACTTATACTAATTTATTATGCTCTCAAATCCATTCATACAAAGTGGGATGTAAAAGATTAGCCTAATTTTGTTCTCCTTATGAAATAGGACATTCTTCGTCAAACGCAGCTTAGCGCTCGAGAAGTAACCTTAATTGTAAATACCACATTTGGATACATCTAACTAGACAATCTCTAAAGGATCTAGCATCCATTGCATAAATGAGCAAATTGGAACCACTAATGAGATTCGAGAATTAATTGCGTTTGGAACGGCTCCGTTTGGGAAATGCCTTCCTGAGTCCAAAGTCCCTCGGGCACTCGTAAATACCGTTTGGCAAATTTTTTTGCAGAGTTTTGGGAAATGCCAAAAATGAGCTTTGAGGGAGCGTTCTTGAAATGCAAATACATTTTTTCCTCCCAAATTTTGCCCTCTCTAAATTTTCATAATTCCAAAAATGTCCCTAACTCATGTGAGCTCATCGGCGAGGGTCTAGGCCATCGATGGGCTGCTGGCGAGACTCTGGCGAGGCCATATGTTACTATTGACACTAGATTTGGCTTGCCGGTAGCCATTTTTGGCCTTGGTCCTTGCCAATTTTGAGTTTTTTTATTTTATTTTAAGAAAGGAAGTTAAAGTGCTTTACATAGTGTGATTATTCTAAACACCGTTTAAACCAAAGTTATTTTTCAATGTACATTTAAATTACAATTTACCAAATACTATTTACATTTCGAAAAACCTTTTTTTTTAACTTAAATGCCTTTGCATTTCCCCCAAAAACCAAACCAAACGCAGTCGACATGTGTTTGGCTCTAGTTGGTCATGGTCATTTAGCACGCACCACGTTCAATAGTATTTTTTTTCTTACAAGAGACAGAAAAGGTACAAAAGGAATAAGCTAAAAAAGATAGCTTACTTGAAATAATTAGTCAATAGAAAATATTTTCTTCATCATCAATAATTTATACCCGAATATTTTTGTGAGCAATACAAATAAAAATTTTTAGAAAAACTATTTTTTCAAATCATTTATTTTTCCTGAAACAAACAAAGCTTTAGAATAAATATGTGATAGGAGCACGGTTTGAGATTTTTTTTTTTTTTGTGATCATGCTTATTTGAATATGCAGAAAAAAAAAACTTGTGCATTCGGTGCATTTACATCTGCACTGCATATTGCAGGGAATGGGATTCAAAACTGAAGCGGAAGGACAGAGATCTGCCTCTCCTGCATCAAACAGTCAATGGAGTCTTTACTCTCTCTATCATAAAAGTACTTCCATTAATTTGCAAAACAGTCCTTGAATGAAACAGCACTTTGATTAATTGATTAGCTTCCATAATTTAACAGTAATT